AAAAAGCTAAACCAATCCTCAATGCTGTTAAGAGCAACAAATACTGGCTACAAACTCACAAGTATGGAGTTAAACTACCCCATTCTATCAAGGAAGCTAAGGTAATCAATAGAAAAACAGGCACTGACAATTGGTTCAAAGAAATTGGGAAGGAAATGACCAGCAACATGGTGGCCTTTGAGTTTATGTAATGAGAAGAATCAAATTCCAGTAAGTCATAAGGAGATCACTGCCCATATGGTATTTGATATCAAGTTGGACATGCTTGCATGAAAGGCTAGACTCTGTGGAGATGGTCACAAGGTACCAGCACTATCCCAGGAGCATACCTACAGTAGTGTTCCCTGTCACAATTCAGTCCAAATTTTCTTTTTGCTTGCAGCTTTGAATGACTTGGATGTTCTTTCAGCAGACATTTAGAATGCGTATCTTACTGCACCAATCAAAGAAAAATACTATATGGTTGCAACAGCTGAATGTGATTTTTCTGTAGAATATGTTGGCAGGGCATGCAAAATTGTCAGAGCACTTTACAGTTTATCAATCCTTTTGAGCATAGCTCACAAGTCACCTGAGAGAACTGGGCTATATTTCATGTAAAGACAATCCTGATGTGCACATGAGGAAGGAAGTCAAGGCAAAAAGGTTCACTTTAAAAGATGGAACCATCAAGGAACCTACGTTATATCTTGGTGCTGACATCAAGTGGTGGGCTATGTCAGCTGAGAAGTATATTGAGAAGGCAATTCAAGGTGTTGAGCAGGAATTGGGGACAGAGAAATACAACTACAAGTATCTTCCCAAGAAGAAAATCAGTACCCCTTTATCTCCAGATTACAGACCAAAGATTGATCCCAAAGATGAGCTTGATAAGTAGACACAAAACTACTAGTATCAAGGTTTGATTGGTGTCCTGCAATGGTTATGTGAACTTGGGCAGCTTGATATCATACATCCTCTATCCCTACTACCACAGTGTTTAGCTCAGGCACGGATTGGTCACCTCAATCAAGCCTTCAGAATATTTGCCTATCTGAAGCAACACAAGAAATCTAAGTTGGTTTTTGATGACACCCGCCCTGAAATCAATGACAAACACTTCCCAACTGCAATTGGTCTGAGTTTTATCCTGAAGCTATAGAACTTCTGCCACCTGATATGTCAGAAGCATTGGGGAAGCCTGTTGTTATGAATTGTTTTGTGGATGCTGACCATGCAGGTTATACAGCTACAAGACGTTCACACACAGGAATTCTAATATACCTCAACCGCGCTCCCATCCTATGGTATTCTAAGAGGCAATCAACAGTGGAAACCTCTACATTTGGTTCTGAGATTGTTGCCATGCAAATTACTATTGAGAAGATAGAAGGTTTAAGGTACAAACTACGAATGATGGGATTGCCTATTGCAGGCGCAACCAATGTATTCTATGACAATGACAGTGTCATTAATAATGTTACTGGGCCAGAAAGTCCATGCAAAAAGAAGCACAGCAGTATTGCATATCACAAAGCCAGAGAAAGTGTTGCTTCTGGTGCTGTTAGAATTGCCAAGGTCATGGGGACAGAAAACACTGCTGATTTGCTCACCAAAGTGAATGGTGGTGTACTCTTCAAAGAACATTGTAGAAGGTGCATGTACTCATTCTAAAAAACAACAGGCTGGTATATTACGCTGTTGAAGCAAAATCTTGATACAGTTAGAGCCAAAATGGCTTGCCCCATACTCACGCCGGGCCTCTGATAAACAATGAGGGTACAAACAAAAACCTGAAATTCAACTGTATTGATTGACTCATTTGATTAAATCATATGTATTAATTCATATGTATCAATTCATATCATACGTATTGACTCATATGTGACGTATCATACATATCAATTACAATTGATCTCATAGGTACAATTGATATTGTGCATATGTACAATTGTTTCTTGTAGGTATGTACGATTGATTCTTGTAAGTTCAATTGGTTTGATATTTGACTAAACCAAATACACACAATTGAATCATACGATTGAATCATACGACTCATACAATTAAAGTGGTACGTGATATGTGATATGTTTTAGTATAATTACATACCAATCCTATGTGTACTGATTGTCAAGTGCTATTCATTCCAGTAATGAATGACCCTGGAGAAGCCTCCTAATGACCCCTTACCACAGCATCACACTGATACACTATAACACTGTGTTGAGTACTATGCAGGGGAAGCTTCCAACAGCAGTTGCTTTATCACTCACTTCTTCTCTTCCAACCTAATCTAAAATACCCTTATCATGCCCTCAACACCATGCTATCCATATCTGCTAAGTCTTAGTGTGTATATTGTTTGAATGTATTATCAATAGATGTATACTACACTTAGTGCACTATTCCACTTGATTTCTTTATATTCCATCAATTCACATTAAACAAGTTCTTCCTTGTGTGCGTCACACTACTGGTGATACCTTTCTCACAGATACTAGTGGAAGTCAAATTTGTGATTGGCTGTTCCGAAATGTAAGAGAATAACCTACTAAATCCTCCCAAGACAAATTCAGTTATTTTTGTGATCAGTCAGTCTGGCATTAAAAAGAAGCCAACAACAACAATAAATATGGACAGCTTTGGCTATAGTATTGGCTGTGACATGCATGGTGATGCACCAACTGATGCCTTGTTGGAAAAGTTGAGTCCTACAAAAATACTGCCAGTTCCTCTCCTCCACAGAAGAGCATCATGAAATCATGAAGCATAGCAACATCAACGCCAACGACAACACCACCAACGACAACACCAACGACAACAC